ATACGAAAGTTAGTTCAAACATCTACTAGTGTATACTCTACATACTCTACTGTTTGAGGGGGAGTTTTGTGTGTCCTAGTTATTCCTGTCTGTACTGTGCTGGCAGATTTCATTATCACTAGATGAGCAGAACTGTCTGTCCTAACAAAGGGTTAAAGGCCTCCAGGTATTGTATGTTAAGGGACTTTTAAAGGCTAGGTTTAACTTTCTGACCATGTTTCATCTTACACCCATATTCAGGGTGTAAGGTGAAATATGATCAAATCTCATCCCCCACCCCCCTACTTACCTGAATCACAGGTTTATTCTGCCTGCAGGCTTGTGATCATTTTGGAATTCGCTCTGCTCACCTAACCTTGTGACTGTTCATTGTAACCCTGTATTGGAAACATATTGTTATATGTTGGTTCTATGTACACAAATCTCTTTGTTTGCAATATTTTTGTTGTATGTAATGTTCTGTATACTTGCTGCGTACGCGAACTCCTAATCCTAACAAACATTGAATGAAATCATAGATTAGATTCATTTCATGTGACATAAAAAAACTGTGACTACCATCATTTTGTTCCATGGATCCTCTGCTTTCAGAAAATATTATACAGGGTTATTCACAAAAGGGTGAAGGGTTTGGAGAAGGCAGGAGAAGTGGACAATCTAGGACAACATAGCTGAACTGGAAAGTGAGCTGAATTGGATAATTTTCCCAAAACAGCGATGTTGTCCTAGATTGTTCACTTTTCCTGCGTTCTCCAAACTCTTCACCCTTTTGTGAATAACCCTGTATTATAGATTTGGGGGTTTTCTGTGGGTTTTGACATTTGAAAAATATGTGCATTTTAGCATGTGTGCACAAAATGAAAGAATGGCTTTGGCAGCAAAAAAGTAAAAAACAAAACAAAACCTTGAATTAGGTTTAGTAGAAACATTTTTAGTACAGTAGTATATAGCACCTTTTTATATACAGGTCTACAGTTGCAGATAAAGGGGAAAGAGAGTAAGGCTCGACTGACAAATAGGCAAATGAAACTAGCGTTCTTTATGCACGTTTTCGCCCGCGTTTAAGCGTGCATTTTGGGAGCAGAGTATGATGCATTGATGTTAGTGGACAAAACGTGTGCAAAAATGTGCAACAATAATTCCAATGTGCGTTTTCAAGCATTTCCTATTGAGTCTATGGGGTCAAAATGAGATGTAAAATGCCAAAAAGTAGCTCATGTACTTTTTCCAGCGGCAGGCGCTTTGCTTATTGCGACAAAAAGCTCATGTGTGAACAAGGGCCATAGCAATGAATGCGATTTTTTTGGTGAAGCATTTTGTCGTGCATCTTCAGCTACAACAATACGCTAGGTGTGAACGCAGAACGGCTGTGCTAAAAGACACCAAAAAAGGAAAAAACAGACAACAAATAAAGTAAAATACATGTAAAATGACAGCACACAAAAATAGACCAAATACAGATAAAAGGAAAAAAATTAGGGCTGGTAATGATAAAAATTTTCGTCTTCGATTAATCGAAAAAATGTTTAATCGATTAATTTCGATTAATTATAACGCACATACAGATCCAACTACATTGGCCTATACACATACAGCACAGCAATGAAGTAATAAAATGAACTAGGATCACACTAATCCAGCACGTTATTAAGCTCACGTGCCCCACTCAATATGGCCGCCGCCTGAGTGGGGCAACTCAGAATAATAACGTGCTGGATTACAAATGTACAGTATTTACATAGTATAGTAAAACAGCAAAGCCCTTTTAAACATAAGTATTAGCTTAATATTTGAAGTAGCAGCACCTGTTCATTCCATTTCATGTAACGACCTGATTGCAACATAATATCAGTAAATTTGAATGATGGGCACATTTCTGGGAGCGAGATGGGGGGGTGGGCAAGCGCCCCGGCCCACGTGGCTCCGTCGGCTAACAAAGGGAAGGGGGAGGAGTCCGGTGACATCACGGACATCGACGTCACCGGACTCCTCCCCCCTTCCCTTCGTAACACTGGGGCCCAATCTACATAACTGGCCTGTGGCAGTGCATGCATTACAACAGCAGAATATAGTGTCGTATAAATGAAAATGAAGATTTCAAGTAGATTTTACATAAGCAGTTGTAAGCACCCTATGTAAGCTTATACAGTGGCATGCTCTATACAGGGATAACAAGCACCCTATGTGAGCTCTTGCAGTGGCATGCTCCATACAGGGATAACACGCACCCTATGTAAGCTCATACAGCGGCATGCTCCATACAGGGAGCTCATACAGCGGCATGCTCTGTACAGGGAAAACACGCACCCTATGTGAGCTCATACAGCGGCATGCTCCGTACAGGGATAACAAGCACCCCATGTGAGCTCATGCAGCTGCATGCTCCGTACAGGGATAACACGCACCCCATGTGAGTTTATGCAGCGGCATGCTCCGTACAGGGATAACACGCACCCCATGTGAGCTCATGCAGCGGCATGCTCCGTACAGGTATAACACGCACCCTATGTGAGCTCTTGCAGTGGCATGCTCCATACAGGGATAACACACACTCTATGTAACTCATACAGCGGCATGCTCCATACAGGGAGCTCATGCAGCGGCATGCTCTGTACAGGGAAAACACGCACCCTATGTGAGCTGATACAGCGGCATGCTCCGTACAGGGATAACACGCACCTTATGTGAGCTCATACAGTGGCATGCTCCGTCCAGGGATAACATGCCCCCTATGTGAGCTCATACAGCGGCGTTCTCAGTACAGGGATAAAATGCATCCAATGTGAGCTCATGCAGCGCCATGCTCCGTATAGGGATCACACGCATGCTATGTGAGCTCATACACCGGTATGCTCCATACAGGGATAAAACGCATCCTATGTGAGCTCATACAGCGGCATGCTCCGTACAGGGATAACACGCATCTTATGTGAGCTCATACAGCGTCATGTTCCTTACAGGGATAACATGCATCCCATGTGAGCTCATAGAGCAGCATGCTCCGTACAGGGAGCTCATTCAGTGCCATGCTCCGTACCGGTATAACATGCATCCTATGTGAGCTCATACAGCAGCATACTCAGTACAGTGAGCTCATACAGTGGCATGCTTCGTACAGGGATAACACACATCCTATGTGAGCTCATACAGCGGCATGCTCAGTACAGGGATAACACGCACCCTATGTGAGCTCATACAGCGGCATGCTCTGTACAGGGATAACATAGACTCGCTCTACTTTCCTCAGCACCATGTACAGAAAACGGCTGAGATGTGCCCCATTCAGCACTCACCACATGCCCCGCCCTCTTCCCCGGGACCCTCCAATAGGGCGTGGCTACGAAATCACAGTCCCGCCCAGTGCTGACAGGCAGGCGGTGGCGCTTGGAAGGTAAATCAGTAGACAGTAGAGATGGGAAGTTCGGATCTTTGAAATTAATCGGTTGATTTTGAACCGAATCATTGGTTCACTTGCTGAGTCTGCTGACAAGCAAGTGAACCGGAGCTCAGGAGCTGTCTGACCCTTCATAAGGCCCCATTCACATTGAGCGATTCGCAAATCGCGCGTTTGTCACGCGATTTGCATTTTGCGCATTTGTCGCGCGATATCGCGCAAATGCTTGCATTGAGCAAGCTAGAATCGCGGCACAATCCGCTCCAAAAAGGGTCCTGCTGTAGCGACGCACGACCCGCGACAGGGACGGACAGAGCCCCATTGAGATGCATTGGAGAGCGATATCGCGCGCTAAATAGCCGCGATATCGCGGGAATTACCGCACGATAAATCGCTCAGTGTGAATGGGGCCTTAAAGATCCGAATGAGAAGACTCTGGTTCAGAGAAGGGGGGCAGCTCCTGGGGAATTTTCCTGTGATCAATGAGGCAGTGCCTTGGCTCAGAGATGTCACAAGTTTGGTTTTCTATCAGACCAGCCATTCTATCAGATCAGCCAATGTCGTCACTTCTGGTGACACGCGCTCACCTGTGACAAAGTGTGTTTCTGCACGTGCGCACCACATTCTGATGAGCTGATGTCACACTGGTAGCGGACAGATTTGTCCCTAGTGTTTAGAGCGCAATAATGATTGGATTTACTACCACAGGTACTGCGCCTATGGTGCTAAAATTGTATCGTTATTCCCACCCATGCGCTGCAAAGACTATGAACAAATCTGACCGCTAGCAATGTTAGCTGTGACATCACCTCATCAGAATGCGGAGCGCATGCGCAGTAACACGCTTTTTACTGTCACAGCTGATCGCGCGTCACCAGAAGTGACGACATTGGCTGAACTGATAGAATGGCTGGTCTGACATAAAACCAAACTTGTGACATCCCTGAACCAAAGCACTGATCACTGTTCCCCAGTAGCTGCCTCACTGATCACTGTTCCCCAGGAGCTGCCTCACTGATCACTGTTCCCCAGGAGCTGCCTCACTGATCACTGTTCCCCAGGAGCTGCCCCCCTTCTCTGAATCAGAGTCTTCTCATTCGGATCTGTTATGAAGGTTCAGACAGCCCCTGAGCTTTGGTTCACTTCTCAGCCGACTCAGCAAGTGAACCAAGAACCGATTAATTTCAAGATCCGAACTTGCCATCTCTGGTTACCAGTCTTAGACTCGGTGTACTGTTGACTCAGAGCTGATGGAGGTTTGCATGGAGATCAGAGATTTGATTGGTTGCAGGGAGGGGCAGGGCGGGGCTGGCAGGAGCCGAGCTCTCTCTCTCTAGAATCATATTACAAGAGCCGATTTCTGCTATACATTCCACGCTGAATTGTTTGCTTCACACGGATCAGTTCAGTCAGAAGAATCGACTTCTCCAGGTCACTGAGATAAAGGAACTGGACATCAGCAGCAGACAGAGCTGGCTCAGGAAGTGTGAGTGATTGAACTTGTACGGCGACCTGGCCGGGAGAGGAGGAGGAGGAAGGACTCGGCACCAGGACTAGTCGCAGCTCTTCCTTCGGGGCTACTCAGGGATTCTTCTAGCTCGATTGCTGCACCCTACTGGACTGGGGTGGGTGTGTGGCCGGAGGAAGAGGGGCTCCCCCCCAGGTAATGCATTACAGCTGCGGGGCGATGAGGCAGCAGAGAGGATGATCAGACCCTGGCAAGACACCCCCCCCTAAGAGCCGTCCCGCCCGAGTCAGCAGACAAGGTAAATCAGAAGACGTATGTCCACTTCGTATACACTGCGGGCCGAGCAGCAACAGGGTGGTCTGTCCCTCCCACCTTCTGCCCTGTCATCGCTAAGAGAGGAGGATGCTGCTTCTCACGGGGCACAAGTGCTTTTCCGGCCTCTAGTGGCATTTCTCCAAGTTTTTGTCTTTGTATATGTATACCCGTGTATAGATTACGCTCCGTGCTGGATTATGTACCATGCATTGATTTACTAACACTGCCCTTCATTTCCCGGGACACACATGAGGCCATCGTGTACCCTGTATCACCATGGTAGGATCTAGACCCAATCATAAGATGAGATTTATACTTTCTTTCCCTTTTTGGTTTATGATCGGAGATACATCTTATATAGTAGGTAGGGACTTTTCCAGGGACACACTGCTACCTAAATGAGATCACCTTGCACTGTGTTGTCATCCCAGATCATAGTACACGGTATACTAAATGATGACATGTGACCAATTATTATATTAATACATGGCTTCTCTGCTAAAATGATGATCTGATACACAAATAACAAGGTAGGGACATTTCCAGGGACGCTCTTCTATTTAGATGAAGTCATCAGGCACTGTATTGCCATAACAGATCCTAGTAGAATGTATACCAAATAATGACATGTATACCAAACAGTGACATGTGACAACATTGGTATAGTTCTACTTTCTTTCCCTGTTGAAAATGCTGATCTGAAATAAATACAGCATCATACACTGTATTGCCGCCACAGATCACAGGACACTGTATACCAAATAATGACGTGACCAATTCTTATATTAATACTTTTGATTCTCTTTTTTTAGTGCTGATCTGATAAAAATATTACAAAGCAGGGACATTTCTAGGGACACGTTGCTATAAGGGCATCATGGACAGTGTAACCATAACGGATCATGATACACTGTATACCAAATAATGACTTATGACTTTTTTTATTATTATAATATTTGTTTTTTTCTTTTTTTAATTGCAGATCTGAGATAGATATGATAAAGTAGGGACATTTCCAGGGACACGCTGCTACTTAGATGAGATCATCATGGACAGTATAACTATAACAGATTATGATACACTGTATACCAAATAATGACATGGCAGCTTTATTATTAATATGGTAATATTTTGTTTTCTCTTTTTTTTAATTGCAGCTCTGAGAGATATTACAAAGTAGGGACATTTCCAGGGACACGCTGCCACTTAGGTGATAGCATCGTACACTGTATTGTCATCACAGATCATGGTAGACTGTATACTAAATATTGACATATGTCGACATTGTTATAACAATACTTCTCTTTAAATGCTGATGTGAGTAAATATCAGAAAGTGATATTGTCATTGGCAGGTTGTGAAGACCCGAGACTGTCCCTGAAATGCGGGAATGTTTGGACAGTCCCTGGTCACCAGTTCTAGTTGTTATGTCTTCTATTATAAATGTGACCTGTGATCAGCGCAGAGTTAATGATTGGTGAACGCTGCGAGTTCACCTCTGGTGTACTGTGTGAGTACAGGTGGTCTGTGTTCAGCTCGCCGCGGATCAGAAGCTTCACCTAAAACAATTGAGTGTTGATCATGGTGTGACTCCAGAAGAACCAGATTGTTTCTCTGATTTTGGAAAGCTGGAGAAAGCCGGATGTTTTGTTAAGGATCATGTAGAAATCCTTCCCTAGGCATCACTCATTGGATAAGATGTGATGATATATTGTAACGCGACAGTTGCTGGG